GGGGGGGGGTTGTCCGCTCGGAAGCACAGCACCCAGTGCTGTCCAGGAGTGGCTCACAACTCCCAGACCAGAAGTTAGACTTGGGAGGTATTGTAGTTCTAGAGCAGCGGTTCTCAACCTGTGGGTTCCAACCCCTTTGGGGGTTGAAGGTTGCTTTCACAGGGGCCGCCTAATACATCCTGCGTAGCAGATATTTACGTGACGATTCATAACAGGAGCAAAATGACAGTGATGAAGTAGCAACGGAAATAATTTCCCGATTGGGGGGGGGTCACCACAACATGAGGAACTGTATGAAAGGGTGGTGGCATGAGGAAGGTGGAGAACCATTGTTCTAGAGGCTTCCATGGGCATGCTCTCAGCCCTGGGGCCCTGGTTCCTTTACAGATGAAGGGAGTCACATGACAGTGACCTGCGAGGGCCACCCCCAGAAGCCACACCTCTGGGCTCTACATTTTCTTCGAGGATGCCATTTGCTTTCCTCCCCTGCACCCCCACCCCCAGCCCCTAGTAAGATGCTGAGTCTTCTCCAGCCCATGTCAGAGATGCGAGTGCCAGCGCCCAGAATAAGCAGTCCATCTCAGTGTCCAGTTGCCACTTGATCCTCTGCTTTTGCATGTGTCCCTCCTCGTTTTTTCCCCAAGAAGCAGAGGACGGTCAAGGTGCATGGCAATGTGCCCCCACCCCGCCCCCGCCCTGCTGTCACGTCTAGAGGGAGCTGACCACCACAGCTCCTAGTGGGGGGCAGTTGAAGAGCGTGGATGGAGCGGGGTGGGCATGGGGGTGGGGTGGGGTGTGTTTTCAGCCACGCAGGGAATTGGCTAAGGAATTGCAGCCAGGTAACTAGCAGGATGGACGAAGATGGCGATTCCGTGCTACTTTTCCACAGGGAATCGTTTGGTTTGGGGTTGAGGTAGGCTGCCCACTAAGGCTGCCCCTGAATGCAGGCTCCCATTAGCTGGTTTTCACCAGCCTCGCTGCTCCCTGAGCCCCCTTTGTACTTGTTGGGGACTTAGCTTTGCTGTTGGACAGCCTGTGGGTGGTGGGGGTGGGGGAGCAGGGGAGGGCTGGTCACATCGGTGTCTCATTTAAATAATGGTAGTACAGGGAATAGGCTTGAAACAGTTATCGTAAAACATATGATTAACGTCTGTGCACTGTTTACCTTTCCCCTGCGCACATTCTTTCAAGTGTGCCAATGGCTGGGTGTACGGGCCGAGCCACTTAGGCTGCTTGGTTTTTGGGATGGAGAGAGAGCAAGGCCTGCTGGGAATGAACGGCACCCAGGGAGGCTTCATTTACAGATTAAAAGCTTCCTGAAGGCATTAAAAAAAAAATATGGAGGCCTTTCCATCCGGGAACAGGCCCCTCCCTCCCTTCAATTCGCTGCTCACGGTGTTTATTTTGCTTCCCATGTGTACCATGGGGACCACCCCTCTCTGTGGGCATTGCCTGGAGCTTCTTGCTCTCTCAGAGGGGACCACTGGGTATGGCCCCTGAGATGGAGGTAGGGGTGGGGGTCAGGGGTAGCTAGGGAGGTGTGTGAGAGAGAGAGAAGAGGAGAGGAGAGAGAGCCTTCTTGGCCTTCAGAATTCACTCAAGTATGCCTTGTGGTGATTTCATTGCCCAGGTAGGGCTCATTCAACAGCGGGCTCTGCCTCTGCCTCTCGGCAAAGTACTAGGTCATTCTAGAATCAAGCACACTGAGCCTCCAACATCCCCTGTCCTTTCATTCCTGTTCCATTCTGGATAAAATGCCAAATGCACTTGGTGCATTGCCCTACTACCCTCTTCTAAGGCAAGGGAAGGGAAGGCCTTCCAAGGGAGTGAGCCTTTATTTGCTTATTTTTAAAAGAAGGCAAGAGTCACCTTTGAGAAGACAGAGACTAGCTCAACAAGTAGGTCAGAAATTCGAGGAGTCACACTGCAGGTCGCTAAGTCCTTGGAACATAAAGGGTGAGAATTGAGACATTGGGAGGGAAAAGGGAATTGCAATTAGCTGATCACCTACTATGGTCCAAACGCTTAACTTAAAAAAAATTTTTTTTTTCAAATGCACCCAGCCATGGCACTGGCAGAGAGAACCCAAGCGGGTGTTCTCTGATTCTGTCCCGTGCCACTCAGTGTAACAGTCCACCTGGAATGAGCTCACCTGGTTTGGGATCTTGTTTGCACACAGAAGCGGTGGAGAGATGAGTTGGAAGTTCTTGAAACTCTTAGGTGCATAATGATGAAAGGCACCTAGTGCTGGAAGTTACAGAAGAGCTGTCTCCCTTCCCCCTTTCCCATCCCTGACCGTTTCTCTTCCCGCCTCTTCATCATTGTACCTAAAATATGGCTTCTTCTCCTCAGGAATCCCACGGCCTCCACACCCTCCAGACATATCCCCGTATTACCCGCTGTCTCCTGGCACCGTAGGACAAATCCCCCATCCGCTAGGATGGTTAGTACCACAGTAAGGAGTTCCATTTTTTAATTTCCTTTTTGGTTTTACATGGGCATGCTTATTATTTAGTCTGTGCATGGATGTGTGTGCGGTGGAAGATGGGGGTGAGGAGGGGGTGGGTGTGGGTGCTATGCTGTCCTGTGGGGAAGCAAGCGTATCAGTCATTCAGATGGTTCAGATGGGCTTTGTAGGGGAAAGGCTACTGGTGCTTAGTCTTCTGACTCCAGTAGTCTCAGAGGCTCCAGCTTCTCCTCTTTGGACAAAGGTGCCCCAGCCATACTTTGGGAATTTCAGCAGGCTCTGAGGATTTCTGTCCAACGAAGCTGGTCACTGCTCTTCTGCTGATGTCTAGAGCCCTCCCGTCATTTTTAGCAACCAAAAGGGATGGTGTTCTCACACTGGACAAGGCAGCCAAGTCACCCCTTTTAGGATTTGCATGCATGGGGGGCAGAGGTTTGAAATCCAGGATGGGATTGGAGAGGCCTCTCCTAGACCCTCATCTTGACCCTCACTCCCAAGAGTGACCACAACAGTGTTTTCTGCTAAGAAACTCCATGCGAGTGAACCAGCCTGTCTGTAAAATTCTTTGCACATGGAATGTTTTTACCTAACTATGAAAGGTGGGGAGGGACCTGCCCCCGCAACACCGGGGGTGGGGTGGGGGGGCTGGCGGGTGGTTCTCGATGTCTCTGCCTCCTGTCCATGTCCAGCAGTGCCCACATAATCCCACTGTCTTTTACCTCGTGTCTCCTTTTTAAAGCTCCATCTGACTGGCCTTAGATAACTTAAAACATGCTGTTTACAAACAAGAGTAGAGAGGTCTATAAACGTACATGGATACAGTACATGTGTGAGAGAGAGAGATACGTATTTTGTGATGGAGTGTTTTGTGGATGTATTTCTCCATGTTTATCAATGATCTTTACCCTCTGGGTGGGGGACACAGAACGATTTGTTGAATCCTGTCAGACTTTTGGGTGGGTGGGGGGTGCTTTTTTTTTTAACCCCTAAATCCTGGTAAAACCCCTAAAGTACATATCTTGAGCAAAGACATTTCCGTGCCGTCAAGGATAGCATTTCGGAGTCCTCTGCTTCCAAGTCTATCCTGGTTTCTCCAGTGGCTTTCAGAAACCATCCCAAACAAACTAAAAACCATGAAAACAGGACAAACCCGTTCTGGCTGTACATTAACCTGATGGGATACCAACACCAACCCTCAAGGGGGAGGCGCCTGGTCAGTTTTTGTGCACGAAGTAGGCACGCGAGCCTTTTCCCGATTTCTTTTTCAATCGGACAGGCCTCGTCTCGCCTCTTCCTCGGTCATCACTTCCACCACTCAGCTGACAGGGGCGAGGTTTGAAGGCTAGATAAAAAGGGATGGCCAACTCAGACAGCCCTCTGTCAGGAAAAGTTGCATGTCTTTCATGAGGATGCTATTTTGCATGTTGCTGTATTTTTTAATTATTGTAATGAGGTGTGATTGTCTATTGGTTACCCACAATTCTTCTTGGGGACTCTCCCCCCTGGTAACTCTTGTCAACACTTGTTAATTTGACAAAAGGCTACAAATTAAGCTCTGTTAATTTAATGTTTTCTCACCAAGATCTAAATACCGAAGGAGGCCCAAAGCGTAACTGAAGTCCTTTGATTCACTGTACTTTATTTTGGTATAAATTTACATTCATTATTGTTTTCCTTTGGATGGTGTAGCCCTCAATTAGTGTGATGGCTCCATTAAAGCAGGCGAGACTTCGCCTTTAATTATTACAACAAAACACCTAGTTTCAGCTTGGGGAGAGGGTCTCTATTGACATAAGCAGAGGTTATAAAATTTAATTAGCCATTCCTATCAGATTTATGGCATTCAAATTGTTCTGTGTTTCTTCCCTTTGATCCCTCCTGTACAATCCCCAAGATTTTTGTTCTGATCAAATGAGAATAAAGCTTACTGTGTGTGCGGAGAGAACTTCCCCCCCCTTCTCTTCCTCTTCCTCTTCTCCCCACCCCCACCCGTGTTTGCACACTCTCACTTTTCACCCCCCCCACTCCCCACCCCTCCTTGTAGGCAAGGTCAGCCCGTGTATCCAATCACGACAGGAGGATTCAGGCACCCCTACCCAACGGCTCTCACCGTCAATGCTTCCATGTCCAGGTGAGTTGCAGAAACCGGCACCTTCCACCAAAGTCAATGGGTACCTTCTGGGGATGTTCTCCAGAGCCTCGCCGGTTTGGTCACCAGGACCGGCAGGACCGGCAGTGTAAGTCGTGTGCCATGGGCTCTTTCTCTCCCAGAGTACTGCCAAAGCCTTCATTGCCCTGGGCTTCCAAGGTAGGCCCTATGAGGACTTTAGCGGTCTCATTTTTGCAGCGATTGGATTGAGCAATTTTTAATTTATATATATCTATATGTTTATTATTATTAAAAGATCATGTTATTGGGGGCTCTTACAACAACCCATACATCAGTTGTTTCAAGCATATTGGCGCACATGTCGCCGGAATTCTTTTCTAGATGTGTGCTTTCTATTGAGCCTGAAGGAGACGAGCAAGCAGTCGGACGTGCAGAGCTTTGTTTTAACGTCTTTAGTCTCTGCTGCCCTAGACTGGGTAGGAAAAGGGAGGGTGGAAATCATTTCATTATCATACAGAGAAGAGTTTGAGAAAAGGCTGTTGGTCAGACTCTTCAAAGGCAATTAGGAAAAGGATAACGCACGCACCCCCAGCTCCCCCACAAAGGATTGTGTGTACTAGAAATGCAATGTTAGATTTGCATTTTAATTTTGAGTAACCAAGAAATGGGAGATAAAATGTTTTGAAAATGATGATGGCAACATAGGTACAAAGGTGCTTGACACAATAGATGGATGGATGATGAGAAGAGCTGTAAGAGCCCCCGATAAAAGGATTAAAAAATAATAACAATAAAAAACATTTGTTGGTATTATATACCCCAAAATCTAGCCATTTAATGTTATTTTCAATAATACATGCTTTGTTCCCAAAGTACCCAAATTACATAGTTGAGCTTGTGTTGTATCTTTCTGTGAGAGTTTATCTTTCTTTTTGCCCCTTCATCACACCTCAGCTCAGTCTAGTGCCTGTGAGTCACATGGGCTTGTTGGCTACCACGATTGGCTTTTGTAGCTGTCAATCTCTGAAAAAATTTTAAATGAAAGGAAAGCCTCTAAAATGTTGCACACATTTTAAAAATAAGCAAATGTGCATAGATCTCCAGATATGCTGGTGCTTAGCCACACACACACACACACACACACACACAGACACACACACCCCACACCACAGTGTACACATACTCACATATACCTTTCTTGTCACCAAACTCTCTATTTCCTAGCTCTGATTCATCTTGGCTAATTTTTCGGGGACTGCTCGTTTATTTACAAGCTGGTTGGCAGCGGTATGTTTAAGTAGTCACTAATTGCTCCTAATGATAGTTTTATCTTCTGTTCATCTGATTTTCAGTCCAGTTAATTAAATCGGTGGAGGTTTAGACTTTCCTGATGGGCTGAAGCAACTAATCCATTTTGATGATGGCCTGTAATTAAATTAGCATGCATTACATGGTGAAGCCGCTGCCCCGGGCCCCCTCCCCCATGCTCTGTGGCCAGCATGGGAAGTCCAAGTCCAGGGAAAGAGTTGGGAAGCCGGATGGTCCGTTTGTCTTTCTTATGACGAGTGATTTTCAGGGCGCCATCGTGAGAATCTCATTTGTTCATAAGAACCAGCTGTTGCCTCTATTGTAGCTGCGGCCGTCCCGTCTCCATGGAGTTTCTGTAAGGACGATTCCCCACGTGCAGTCAGCCATCCACACTTCAAAATCCACACCAGGATTGGCTAGGTGGGGCCAGGCCGGAAGTAATGTCCTCCCCACCTTGCAAAAGCCTGGAAATGAGTGAGAGGTCTCCCAGGAGCAGGGCAGGGCAGGGCAGCGGAGTGGCTGCTACCTGGCCATGTACCTTCCCCTCCGTCCCAGCCTCTGTCAGCCTGCTTTGCACGTTTGGTGGATTTCAGAGGCTAAGACGCGCTGAAGTGTTTGCAGAAATAGGGGCTGGGGTTTAGCTTAATCGATTGAATGGTCATTAGGAGGTGAGTCATTGATTGGTAGGTGGGAAGGGGATGATGGGAGGAGAGGTGAGGTACAGAGGGAGGCCGCCGATTCCCCCAGGTAGGCCTTATGAAAGGTAGCACGTTAAAAAGCGTACACAGCAAATTAAATACATTATTGTGGTAATGGGGCCACAGAAGTATAGGTCTATTATACTTATGGCAGTTACAGGAAATGTCGGCTGCTTGCCCCGTTCCAGAGCACCCTTTGATATTCATTCTATTCAGCAACGGGGCCAGGACTTCTCAGAATTAAGTGATGGGTCATTATACTTTAAACACCATGGAGAAGCCTAGATTGGCAATTAAACAGCTCTTGCTGACACTCACTTGTGCCACCCTGTGACCCCCTTTAGATTGAGATGTTGGAGCTCGGGGCCCTCAGCCTGCTAAATTGGTGCGAGGCGCTTCTCCTGACGAGAGCAGGCTCTGAAATCTGCCGGCTTCAAAGGGAGCGAGATCATGTATAAACCATAATGTGGGTGCACCGTGACTCACAAAAAATAAGGCAGGAAGAGATGAAATGTTACAAGTGCAAGGGGGGAAATAATGACAAAGCCGATGCAAGTCGGCGCCCGGATTGCTGCATGGGAAAATGCATCCTGCTGCCGCTTGTGCATAAAATCAAGGCCGGCCGATGACATGCAGTTAACAGAAACGTGTCAACCGTGAGGGAAAGTGAGAGTGAGTGAGAGAAGCACCCCAGAGACAGCCAGAAACAAAAATTAGTTATCCTTAACAAGTAAAGGTTCATCATTATATTCTGGCTGGGAGCCATGAAAGCAGACGGGGGTAGCTAATGAGCTGCTTAGAATTTTTAGGGTGTTTAGTGCATTTGGGGAAATAGTTGTCTGTGGAAAGGAAATTTCTTCCAGCGAAGGTACGCGCACAGCCCACACCCACCTGCCTTGCCCCGCCCGGTCCATCCCTCTGCTACCCCTGGTGTCAGGTGTAGGAAGGCAGGTGGGGGCATAGGAAGTTGGAAGCAAATGGGTCAGATCGGGTGGTTGCACTTAGGATTTCTCCCCACTCCAAATTGGACTTGACCCATGGCATCTCTCTGGTGCCGGGGTACCCCCGTGCTCCCACACATACACGCAGTGCCCTTGCCTCTCTCATCTTCGCCTGCTCCCTCCCCCATTGCCCCCCTGTCTGACACATAGTCAGCCTCGTTCTGCAGAATAGGGAACCTATGCATTTGGGGAATGCGACGCCTTTACAATGTACGGTCAGTACCACCCTTCCACTCACTGCTGTGTACAGGGCTTCCAGGAGTATGGATGTGCTCATAACTTCTGCTTCCTCCTGGGCCTTAGAGGAAAGGGAACAAATAGGGTCACCCAGAAACCCCAGTGCCTCTGGGAGCTTTTTCCTTATTTGGGGGTGAGGAGGGGGATGAAAAGGGCTTGTGTGACTCATCTTTCTTCGGGGAGGTTGGGCACCCTCCATGGACTTCCTTGCTTATTATTAAAATACAACAAGACTACCAAAGTTTGAACATTTGCTTTTTGGTTTTTTATAAAAGGTACATTTCTTTATTGACATTACCGAAATACTACCATCACCCCGCACAACGCATAACTTCTTGTCAGCCAGATGTCGTGGTTCACACATGGGCTTTTGCTTTCAAGGCAGCGAGGAGCCTCTAGAGATGAGTCAGCATCGGGGGTTGCTGTGCACCCTTTAAAACTCAGCTTTCTTTGCCAGTATTTCTGCTGTCGATCTGTGCCTATTGCGCCAGGCCCTCTTAAAATTCATTTTCCAGATAAACACGGGTTACATATTTAGACAGTATGGATGAGATGGTCATTGCTCTCTGCCACTCATGGGTAGAGCCTTGTCAATCAATGCAGGATCCCTTAGAAATAACTCTCTTGATAAAACCCTCCCCGGGTTCCCATGCACAGCCCGCAATGAGGTTCAGGGATTCAGTAGGATATCAAGACACCCCAAACATCCCCGGAATCCACTCTCCTTAGAGCAGGGTATTTGTTGCTGGGATCCCATGTTGGGCTGCTCAGGGTAGGGGCTGATGAAGGAAGCATCTCAAGTACTGGCGTCTGCACCGCCCCTCCCCCACTTCACCCAGGCAGGTGCGCAGCCAGCTCTCGGGTGTCACCTGACAGGGTGGCCCAGGAGTTGGCCATCTTCCTGTCTCTTAGGATTCTGCCTTCTGTGCCCCACCCCCCTCACCCCACGCCACACACACACTCTGCTTTTCTCCTCCAGAGTGTTAAGTTAGATTAAGAGAGTGATTCTCTAACCCACTATGATTCCAAAGCGGATCAAAAAAGGGAACATTCCTTTGCGGGTCCACTGACTAGTGTGCAGATGGGTGGAGAGGCCATGAAACGAGCCCTTTAAGTCCTGGCCAATGTCCGTGGCCGAGAAATGCCTGTTCGGGAGGCCGGAAGTGGGTTTTCCAAAGAAGTTTCGTAAAACCAACCAGTGCTGGACTAGAAAACAAACTTGATTTTTCTGGACCTCCCATTCATTTTCACAATCACTGAGAAGGCTTTCTAACACAGAGGCAACTTGCTGGAGCACAGATGATCCCGAAAACCAAGAATGGTTGAGCAACAAAAGTCATGCAAGTTGGAACATAAAGTGTCATTATTTTTGTACATACAAGCCCTGCCCTTTTTCCGGGGAGGCGGTGGGTAGGGAGAGGAGGCCTTCTTTCATAAGAGGACACAAACTTATTAAAAAACATCAGTGGCTCACAATGAGAGCCAGAATGCCCCCCGTCTTAACATCTCACCCTCCACCCCTGTCAACGTTGGGGGGGCGGGGGACCCAGCAGCTGAAGAAAAATAAAAATTGGATCACCCGCATCAGCAGAATGAGTCCTAATGAGGCCTGCCCAGCTTTGTCAAAAATCTGTGTATACGTCAGCCGCGTTAATATTTTATTTAGCTGTCAATATACAACAAAAGGTTTCTCCTTTCATTCTGGAGCAAATTGGAGCTTGGGACATGGACTTCTTTGGGCCATGAATAATGGCTGGGAGAGAAAGAGCCTGTCAGGACCTGTATGTGGTCTGCAGCCCACTTTCCCAGCCCAGGACATCAGCAGAATGGGTCTTCCCTAAAGATGTTTCCCAAAAGACCCCTCATGTCCCGCGTCATTAAAACTCATGAAGAGGATGATCACCTGGATGACATCATGAGGATCCTCATGTTTAATTCCTCACTAATTAAGCCTGACAGGTTCCATGTGACTCGGGTGGCTTTCCTGTGTGTCGCGTGCTGTGGTTATTTTGTTACTCGTGTGTGCACCTCCCTCCCCATTCATTCTTTTTTATTCTGACCATTTACACAGCTTTCTCGCTTCTAGGTTCCCACCCCATATGGTCCCACCCCATCATACGCTGCACACAACCGGCATCCCCCACCCGGCCATCGTCACGCCAACAGTCAAGCAGGAATCCTCTCAGAGTGACGTCGGCTCACTACACAGCTCGTAAGTGCGGCCGTTCTGAAGGGCTGGCATCTGTGGCCTCAGGACGGTGTCCCTGTGCCTCCAGTCGACCTGACTGGAGTGGAATTCCGCCAACACCCAGCCTTGCTGGGGCCTGGGATTCCGTCCAGAGGGAGAACATGGGCTATGGCAGAGTTTCTAGATAGTGTCCACTGCAGGGTGGATCAGAAGGCCCTTTGCCCCCTCTGTGTTTTGGTGGGGTGGGATGTCAGCTCCTGCCCTAGCCCACACACCGTAATAGAACGGTTGGAGTATTTGTTTTGAAGGAATGAGAGGCGCATCTTTACGTGGAGGATCTAGTCGCAGGCTTCTCCCCTCTGCGCCCCCGCCAGCCTGGGAACATGGTCTATTTGCTGAACCTTGAGGAAGTGATTTCAAAAGCTTTCTCTCCCCACCTTCCAGTCTGTCTGTCTGTCTGTTGTTGTGCCCTTCCTAAGGGGCTCTGGAGGCATCGTGGGTGATGTCCCAGGCTGCTACCTGCAAGGTCAGGCGTGCGAAACCACGAGCCGTGCCAAGGGAGAAAGACCTGGCTCTCTACTCCCATCAAGAGGTGCCATCTCAGGCACTCACGGGGAGGCAGCTCCCCCCTGCCTTCTGGGGTCACTGCGCCAGCAATGACTCATTCGATGGCAGCGAGTTTTGTTTCGTTGTGTTTTTTGTGGTTCGATTTTCCCCGGGTCGAGGAAAGCAAAAGAAGTGGGCTTTTGGATCCAGCCGGGGGCGCCAAGGTTTAGGGGTGAGAAGCCAAGCGAGGGCTCTCCGCTGCAGGAGTGGGTGGCCCTTGACGGGGCTGTGTCTGTTCTGTCTCTCCCCAGAAAGCATCAGGACTCCAAAAAGGAGGAAGAGAAGAAGAAGCCCCACATAAAGAAGCCCCTGAACGCGTTCATGTTGTACATGAAGGAGATGCGGGCCAAGGTCGTAGCCGAGTGCACATTGAAAGAGAGCGCGGCCATCAACCAGATCCTCGGGCGGAGGGTAGGCCCACTGCCGCGGAGGAGAGGACGGGAACCCCGGCGGCCCTGACCCCACGTGTCTGGAGAACCCTCCCAGCCCCCACCTTACTCCAGACATAACAGACCCGTCCCGCTCAGCTCGAGCCCCTTGCACCCCTACATGCAGTAAGGCAACCTGAATGACCGCGCACATGCCTGTCCCAGCATTCCCACCCCCGCCGCCCCCAGCCCTCTCTAGGCAGTTCTGACTCTTAGCAATCCCAGGTTAGCGCTGAGCCCAGCGAGTCGGAGTGGCTTGGGACCTTCGGGAAGCAGATCCCCAAGCCTTTAGTGCCGGAACCTGCCAAATTGTCAGCATCCGCAGGGGATAGCATTTCGTGGATGGCCTTGCCTCGCCAAAGATAGGCTGTGATGCCCGCCCTGGCCCTGTGGCTGACAGTCTGCATTCTCTCCCCCTCTCGCAGTGGCACGCCCTGTCCAGGGAAGAGCAGGCGAAATACTACGAGCTGGCCCGAAAGGAGCGGCAACTGCACATGCAGCTGTACCCTGGCTGGTCCGCGAGGGATAACTATGTAAGTGGGTCGCTCCTCTCCCCACTGGTCTGTACAAATGCGATATGGGCCGGGCGGACAAGGGGCACGATGACCTCCAGGGGGCCTCAGTCCCCAGAAGCAGGGGGCCTGGCTAGTTCTCGGTGGTGCTCATCTCAGCCAAGCGCAGGACTGGATGTCCTGGCTTGGCCTCCGGTGTGGCTCTCTTCAGGATGGCCACCATTCTTCAGGGGGGGTTGGAGGCGGGCGTGTTGGGAGGCGACGGGCGTTCTAGGTTCTAGCCCTAGACCAATGTGGTCCATGTCGGGGCTGTCCACTCGTGTTTGACGGCAGGCGCCCTGGTGGTATTTCAAGGGTTATGGGTTGGTCTGCCAACCACAGGTGGGCAGTTGTAGCTCACCAGATATTCTGCAGGAGAAAGATAAAGGCGTTCTGGCGCATAAAGATTGACAGCTTCAGAAAACCACAGGAACAGTTCTGCCCCGTCCTATAGGGTTACTGTAAGGAGAAACCCACAGGCGCAGTTCTGCCCCGTCCTATAGGGTTACTGTAAGGAGAAAACCACAG